AGGCAAGGTCGAAGAAGGTATGTACGTATGTTTTTCGAAAGAAAATATCACCAAAGTTACGCTATTCGAGTCGACGTTAGACACCGAGAATAGGAAGCTTTACACGGACTGTAGACAGAAGGAAACGAAGAGACGGCCGAGAATGAAGAGTTCCATGTTTGAAATTTGCTGGGACGGGAGAAGCAACATCATTTCGAGGACGAGCCTACACGTGGAGGCTGTAAAGGAACTGTTTTCTGTACATTTTCCATCGACCCTGGAATTTTAAGATGTCGAACATCGAGAAAGAACACGACATTTAGCAAATTTGAATATGAATTATTTACAAATTAATTTTTTTTTACATTATTTGTTACGGCATCGGTAAAGTCGACAACTTTGCCTAAACTCTTTTCCACCGCACACCACGCGCATCTTGGCAGTAAATCACGTGCAACGTCTATCGTCTTTGATTTTGTCGACAGAAATATCTGTCCAAACTATATCGTATTTGGTCTCATTTTAATCGGAAAACTATCAGCAATGTGTTAAAAAAAAAGATCAGTGTTAAAATGTTAAAATTAAAAAAAGTTATGTCATTGCATTACGAGTTGTCTTCCGGGAATTCGAGTCAAAGGAGCCGCGGCGCGTGCCACAGCACACGTGTTCACCAACACCATCGAACTTTAGCATAGCGAGAAAATCGATGAATTAAAGGGTCGCAAGAAAATCGATAAATTTCAGGGCCGTAGCAATATCTCGGCGTCGGGATTGGCATACTCGAGTTACGCCGAGAAGAGAGACATTACTGTATCTCGGGTTCCATACATTTTTCGTGAGAAACATTAACGATTTATCTACCGGCAACTGTTTACGATGGGCACTGTTGTAAGCAGTTGGCTGTGTTCGGACGAGTATACTCGCCGTGGCTCGATTCTCGCGACACATACAGGTGCGCCCTCTGAAAAGATGGCGCCGCAGTCAACCGATTAAGATCGACGACCAATAGGTGGCAGTTTTTCGGGAAGTGTCTCGAAAGCGACAGCCGTTTCGTTCGCACCTTTGTTTCATTATTTGGATTAACATTATGCGATGACTTCGTCTGAAATTATTACTTAGAAGGAAAATTGTCGAGCTTCTCTCTTGGACGCAGCAAGATCGTCGAAAAGTCTATAAATAGATGCAGTGAATTCTCCCTCATTTTTTCTTCAGCTTGTAAACAAACACGGACAATCTGGGACCAGGAGACACGATTATATTATATTTGTATAATATTTTTAATTAATTAGAATTTATTTTTTAAAAATTTAGAATGATTGAAAGTGTAGTTTTAAAGAATGTTTAATTATAATTTTAAATTTAAAAAATTTTAATTTAAATTTTTATTAATATTATAAAAGTTAGGGGTAATTTATAGCATTAATTTGATTTCAAATCATATTTGTATAAAATTTTAAATTAGAATTAGAATTTATTTTTTAAAAATTCAGAATGATTGAAAGTTCAATTTTAAAGAATATTTCATTATAATTCGTCGCGGCTCGTTTTTCTAGTCGCCGATTGTCAACAACTACAACAAAATAAACTATAAAAGATACTATAGAAATAAATAATCGTATCACTTCTTCTTTCCTAATTGTCCATTTTCGTTTGCAAGCTGCGAGACAATTGGATCGAATTTACCGTATTCAGAATGTCAAGCTTTCGAACGAACACTCTGTACACGCACAGTATATGTATAATGTTATGTATATGTATATGGATATGTATATGGATATATCCGGTGTAATTATGAGACGATTCGCAGGTCATCGAGTGAATCGCCGGCGCAAATTGGCGAGCAATTAATAAGAATAGTCGGACTCACCTTAGAGAATTCGCAAGCCATCGTGCTCGACGATGATAGTTTATCGCGCCACGACGTTTCTCGTGCCTCCGACTCTCGGCTCCGGCAACAACAGAGGCAGCAGCAAGCAGCGGGATCAGCAGCAGCAGCGACAGCCGCGGGGGGATCGGTCACCAGTCAGGATCCCTATTAGAACGCGTCGAATAGAATCGTTCGTATTTTTCTTTTCCTCCCGATCCCGACAACCTCTCTCTCTTTCTCTCTCTCTCTTCTCCGCGTCGGGCTTGTCCACGTGACCACCGAAGCGTGTGCAGAGAAGACGAACGACGACGATGACGACGACGGCGACGAAGTCGCGAAGCTAACCGCATACGCGAACGTGAACGTAGGAGTGAGAATCGATCGGGATTTCCAGGCTTTCCGTCTCCGATCGACGCGATAAAACGACTGGTCACGTGGCGGCTCCAGGAACCACTCGATTTTCCTCTGGCGCACCTTCTTCGCTTCCGGCTCGACCAGGGACCGTCGTCGTTATTCTACGAACCTGCAACGCAAACGGAATTTCATGCATCAATTTTATATTAGAGAGCACATATTAAACTTTCGTGGTATCGTACTGTCCGCTATAAATGCGCAGAGATATCTCTTATATTCGATATTCGAAGGTTTATTTTTCTAATATCCTGATAACAAGCGTTCTACAGGATGTTGTATGTCTCGCAATCGGAGAGAGGTGATTCCTGAGGTTATTTGAAGAAACTTTTTCCTTTGCGAAAATGCAATCCGTCGCTTCGTTTACGAGTTATTGACGAAAAACGGTTGACCAATGAGAGGCGAGATCGGCCGGCGCGAGGCGGCCGAGTCAGTCAGCGGAACTGGGATTCGAGCGCTCGTTGGCCACCTCGCACCAGCCGAGCTTCCCTCCTCCCATTGGTCACTGTGTTTCGTTTATAACTCGTAAACGATGCCGCGGATCGTATTGTCGCTAAAAGGGTAAATTGTTAAACTAATTATGGAACACCCTGTATAATAAATACAACGCAACCGCACAATGTTACTTACGCCAAAAAATAGAGGAGGTCGTTCTAAGGTTATCTGTAGGAGGAATAATTATTTATACGAATTGTACTACATAACCTTAATTTCGTTTTGTTCTTTGCAGATAGTTTATGCAATGAGAAACTTTACGTGAAACCAGAAAATATCTTCGCATACAAATTAACAAGGAATTAACAGATTTAAACAGGTCGGATTGTCTCCGATGCGTGGAGTAAAAGAGTTGTAAATCACGATTGTACACGAAGAAGAAGTTACGAGAAGTTTACTTACAATTTATTTATTCTCACCGAAGCGTAAAGGAGCACAATGAAAGGCTGAGAATGCCTTGTGTTCCTAAGATACATACGTGTGTTACACGTCCGCCAGCGTGTTTCACACGTACGCGGAATGTACGAAGAAATTGACGCCGTGCGAAAATTAAAAACGCCACCAAAAACAGGCAAGAGCATGCATCAGCCGAAAGGAGACAGAGCAGATATAGAGCCGCGTGTATATGATGAAACTTCCGCATTTTCCTCGTAAACACGGCACCTCTGAGCATGGGCGTCATTTCATAGCATCCCAGGAGACTTCAAAGAAATAGTAATTGTAAGACCCCGCCGCACATTCTAAGCATTTTTGGTTCGCGGTGGCGGCTTGAAAGACATACTACAAAGTAACCTTCGGGTCTTAAAGGGATAAGTCACTTTCCGTAACAAACTGCTGCGAGCATACCGAAGCGAATATTAATGAAAGATGAATTACCGAAGGAAAGAAAACATTTCTATTATATTCTTCACAGAAGATATTTATATTATATAATTATACAGGGTGTCCCAAAAATGTCTCACAATCCGGAAATGGCGGGTTCCTCGGGTCATTTGAAGCTGTCTCTTATACACATCTACATATATTTATATTATATAATTATACAGGGTGTCCCAAAAATGTCTCACAATCCGGAAATGGCGGGTTCCTCGGGTCATTTGAAGCTGTCTCTTATACACATCTACATATATTTATATTATATAATTATACAGGGTGTCCCAAAAATGTCTCACAATCCGGAAATGGCGGGTTCCTCGGGTCATTTGAAGCTGTCTCTTATACACATCTACATATATTTATATTATATAATTATACAGGGTGTCCCAAAAATGTCTCACAATCCGGAAATGGCGGGTTCCTCGGGTCATTTGAAGCTGTCTCTTATACACATCTACATATATTTATATTATATAATTATACAGGGTGTCCCAAAAATGTCTCACAATCCGGAAATGGCGGGTTCCTCGGGTCATTTGAAGCTGTCTCTTATACACATCTACATATATTTATATTATATAATTATACAGGGTGTCCCAAAAATGTCTCACAATCCGGAAATGGCGGGTTCCTCGGGTCATTTGAAGCTGTCTCTTATACACATCTACATATATTTATATTATATAATTATACAGGGTGTCCCAAAAATGTCTCACAATCCGGAAATGGCGGGTTCCTCGGGTCATTTGAAGCTGTCTCTTATACACATCTACATATATTTATATTATATAATTATACAGGGTGTCCCAAAAATGTCTCACAATCCGGAAATGGCGGGTTCCTCGGGTCATTTGAAGCTGTCTCTTATACACATCTACATATATTTATATTATATAATTATACAGGGTGTCCCAAAAATGTCTCACAATCCGGAAATGGCGGGTTCCTCGGGTCATTTGAAGCTGTCTCTTATACACATCTACATATATTTATATTATATAATTATACAGGGTGTCCCAAAAATGTCTCACAATCCGGAAATGGCGGGTTCCTCGGGTCATTTGAAGCTGTCTCTTATACACATCTACATATATTTATATTATATAATTATACAGGGTGTCCCAAAAATGTCTCACAATCCGGAAATGGCGGGTTCCTCGGGTCATTTGAAGCTGTCTCTTATACACATCTAGAGGTGTATAAGAGACAGCTTCAAATGACCCGAGGAACCCGCCACTTTCGGATTGCGAGACATTTTTGGTACACCCTGTATTTACTATTATTCGGGATTGGCCACGCGGACCGCTGGACAATCATGGCGGTCGCCGCCGAATTCGGCGCGACCACATACAAAATCATAATGGCGCGAGGTTCGACTGTACGCGATGCACCCTAAGAGGGACAGGGCCTGCCATCTCTAAGCGAGTAGCTCACATCATTACGAGAGCAATCCCTTTGTTTATGCGATGTATCCGCGCGGCGAATAGTAAGATTATACATCTCGGCGCAACTGTAACGGTCGAACTCTCTCTCTCTTTGCAAGTGCCTTGTGCATTCGCTGCTGCGATAGTATATTGTTATTTTTGTTACATTGTTCGTTATCATTGTCGAATTATTAAGTTTATTCTTATCTACTACACAAGCGAATTACAGTTCATTTAGCGAGCAGATAGTTTACAAACAGGTAATTTTCTTGCGTCGTGCCATTATTGCAAGCAATTATTTAACTATATCTTTTAAATTTAGTGCTTTGCGCTAAATTTCATGGAATATTTAGAACGCGAATATCACGTTGTCCGCTATTGGATGGTGAATTGTGAATTTGGATCGCCGAATTTTCAAGATCGTATGAAAAGTAACAGAAAATAGACACCATTATCTGGCCGCTCGTGTCAAGGTTATATTATAATTTTATAATTTTTATTATTATTAACTTTAATTTATATACTTTACATTATTATTTTACCATTATCTAGCTGCTCGTGTCAACTTTATATTATAATTTTATAATTTTTATTATTATTAACTGTAATTTATATACTTTATATTATTATTTTAGCATTATCTAGCTGCTAGTACATCTTGCTGTCCACTCGACGATAGGCAATCGATGTCGAAAAATTGGTAATTCGACGAGAAAACGAATACAACACGGATGGTCCCGATAAACGAGTAAAATATTTCCGAAATGCCATTGCGACACGATAGCGACTATGATAGTAAGATTACCTAATTTATCAATGTTCCCGGCGTTATTTACTTAGCTCGATAATGCGTTCACACGATTGTCTAACAGCACCCATCCACGAGCGGGTTTCTTCCTATCGGGCGTAGTCGGTGTAACGAGCAATTTAGCGGTAACGACGGAAAGCTGCTCCGCGCGGACCATCGTCTCTAGAAATTGCACCGATAACGCTGAACCATCCAGCTCGATCAAAGTCGCTCAACATCGAGCCGTGTGTCCCGGTGTCCCACGTGATCCGCAATTCGATCGGACCGCTGTTATCCGATACGATGAAATTCACACCCGAATCCCGGATTATTCTCCGAACGATCTTCCGATAGTGTTGCAGAACCGGTTAACGCGATCGCGGTGAAACCTTGAGAGAGCCTCCGGAACCTATTGTTTGCCGCGAGAAGCTCACGTGATCGCTTCGAAGAAAGAAGCTGCATCGTAATCGAAGCTGGTTTATTTAGTTCATACATATATATTCGATCGATAAATAATAAATAGTTCCTGGTGAATAGTAAATTTTATTCTAAATCGTATTTGAAGTGCTTCGAGCACACTGGAGCAACTGTTATTTATCGATTTTCTGTGAACATTATTGTCTGAATATTACAGTAATGTCTCTCTTCTCGGCGTAACTCGAGTATGCCAATCCCGACGCCGAGATATTGCTACGACCCTATAATTTATCGATTTTCTTGCGGCCCTTTAATTCATCGATTTTCTCGCTATGCTAAAGTTCGATGATGTTGGCGAACACGTGTGCTACGCCACGCGCCGCGGCACCTTTGACTCGAATTCATAATGTCATAACGTAATGACATAACTTTGTTTAATTTTAATATTTTAACACTGATCTTTTTTTTAACATATTGCTGATAGTTCTCTGATTAAATTGAGACCAAACACGATATATGTACGCCTTTTGGACGCGTTTTCAATTTAAAAAGGAATTTCTATTGAAAACTTATTTTGTAATTCGAAACAGATAAGATCCGACATTTACTCTCGCAGGCTCTTTCGTGCGATTCTTTCCGAGTATACTATCGCGTCGATTTTCTTGCGTATCTACTGTGATGTTTACTATAATTACGACAAAGGAATCTCGACGCAGGTAATTTTGCGTAACCGTCCGCTGTAATTGGTACGCGTTAATCGTGCGCATACGAGCGTAGAACGCTAAGCTCGATGATTACACGATTCGATGTTGAAATACAAGGAGATCCTATCGAGGATTCGTTCTAGCCTGAGGGATTCGCAAGAGAACCTTGGAGAACCAGAAGAGATATCTGGATCGCGAGATGATCTAGATCGCGCTCGGATCACAGATCGTCGACTAATACAGTAATGTCTCTCTAATTGACGCCCAGATTGCACACAAAAATGGACAATTTGGGAAGAGGAGATACGATTATTCAATATATTAAAATCTATGAACAAGTTTCGAACAAAAATGTAACCTCAAATTTTGTAAATCAATTCAGATCAAACGACGATTATACCTGTAGCTGTTTTTTCGGAATTCTTGTAAGAAAAGACTTTATTAGAATAATTTCTAATATGTCAGAAATATGGCTCGCACGAATGCAGATGTATTCGGGACTCGTCCATACCAGTCATCGGATGGATGCCGATATACAGGACGTCCCAAAATTATGGTATTTCCGAGAAATGGGGGATTCCTGGGGTCATTTGTAGCAACTTCTTCCTTAGCGAAAATGTTCTACGATGCTTCGTTCACGAGTTATTAACGAAAAACACTGACCAATCAAAGACGAGCTCGGTTGGCGCAAGGCAGCCGAGCCAATCAGCGGATCCGGGCTTCGCGCGCTCTTTGGCTCGGCCGTCTCGTGCCGATCGAGCTCGCCTCTCATTGGTCACTGTTTTTTGTCGATAACTCGTGAACGAAGCCTCGTAGAATATTTTCGCTAAGGAAAAAGTTGCTTCAAATGATCTCGGGAACCCCTCATTTCCCGGAAATACCATAATTTTGGAACACCCTGTATATCCGGCGCTCGGCCACACAGGTGACCAGATGGATGCCCGATATATCCGGCGCTCGTACCGGAAGGATTTAATTTCGAGTGCGTCTTCGATCGCGAAATCGAAGCGCAACAGCCTAAAGAGAGATCCGTGCGCCGAGCGAAGCAACCGGTGATTTCTAAAGCGCCGCAACGCGGAACGAAATCGCGGACGGCGGCGGCGGACAACAACCGCAGAATTAATTGTGAAAGCGAAAGAACCTTGTTAGAGAACCGGGGAACAAGATCGAAGAAAGGGGAACGGGAGAAAGAGGCATTCGTTTTTTGTAGCGTCTTCCGCGGCAGAGCCGGCTGAAAAGAATGCGAACACGGTGGAAATCGGTCGCATCGCGCGAGAAGAAAAGCGCGCTTCGCTCCGTTGTGAAAACGCGTTGAATGCGTGTTCGCACAAAAATGCCCGGCTAACGCGTAATTACGGAGCGCAGATGTAATTTCCAATACGGCCTCGCCGCGGCGAATCGCGAGAATCGCGAGCGTCGCGCGGGCCGTTCGCGAGAATCCGCGCGCTCGCGGCGCGGCGGCCTCTGATTATCAGTAACGGGTGTCGCGAAAGTAACAGCGGAGCGGGGCCTCGTCTCGTTACAATTAAACCACCGCCGGAAGCCTATTAATACATTTTTATGAATAGGCGCTCCGCTGGAAAGAGAAGCTCCGATGGAAAGAGACTTCGGATTCTTCTCCCTTGCAAACGCTTTTCCAAAGGAAAATACGCATACCTCGCCGGAAGAATCGGCTGAATCGAGAATTTTAAGGGAACCGTGACTCTTCTCTGCCGAACAATTGTCGACGCGGGAACAATCTCTGGCTTCAAGGGAAAACCCGGCGTGTCGCGATCTCCAATGTACACCTCTTTGCGCTCGAAGCTGTTTTAACGTCAGAATAATCGTGGTGTGTGTATGCACTTCTGCCGCCGATGCGTTGTTGTCTCATTTGAGGATGATGCTTACGTTTTGATAGTTTTTATTCGACAAATGAAAGCAAACTTATCGGAACGTTTGATCCATAATTTTGATTTTGTAGGAATTCGAACGATTTCTAGTAATTTTGTTTTGAGGCACTATTTTATTGCATGGATTTTGGCACATAACCTATAATGTATAATAATAATATATAATATAAAATATACATATATATATATTATTATTATTCATATATTATACAAATATATATATATATATATATATATATATATATATATATATATATATGCACA